GGACATTTTTTATGCAGGCCGATAAAATCCGATACTCATTTTTTGGCTGATATCGGACCGATATCAATATCGGATCGGGACACCCCTAATTTTAAGTCCGTACGACTTTTGTGTCATTAAGCTGTAACGACATAATTCTAGCAGTCGTAACTTAAAAATTTGCAGTCAGTTTTATTTTGTTTGTATTGATGATTCAAACTTCGGGAGGCTCACTTTAATGTCCTCACACATCAAACTAATGTCCTAACGTCACTTTTGTCTAGGCTAGGAAAAAGAAAATGGCTCTTGAACACGCCAGGAGAACAACTGCCATCCAAGATTTACCTTCTGCAATTACACAAAGCAACATTACTCTCCTGCACAAAGGGGGGATTGTTTAGRTGTTTTATTCAATCGTGGAAATTGATAGTCTGGCTCGATAAAAACGTGATATATTTTTTAAAGTTTGTTCATCATTTTGTTTAGTTTTGATCATTCAGTATAACAGCTTATTGTGATGGGTTTAGTATGTCTATACTCTTAAAAAACAAACTTTCAGGTAAACTTTGTGCCTTCAATAAGCAGTTAAGTGTCATACATTGAAAAAAAAGTAATTTAATGTGTCAATTAAAGCTGAACATTCAGTTAGAGTGATCTTTCATTGACAGACACAACTCAATTTCACTTAGTAAAGAAGCATAGATTATAAATCTCTTCTTTGTGYGGGTGGTTACAAATAAGATTTTTATTCTCAAAATTGCCGTGACTTGCCTAAAGTAAACTGGTTTCACCTGGTTTATCTGTGTGTGCAGGTTTGTAAGAGGAAGTGCACAGGGGTGCAGAGGTGCACCCCTTGTAAGCAGCCACGCTGTGCCTTTGCTGCTCCCAACGACGGGCTGGAGCACGGCGGAGTGGGAGCAGCAGCAGCAGCAGGAGGAGGTTTAGGTGGCGACGGAGGGGAGGTGGCTTCGAACTCTGAAACCGGTCACTGCCACCATCCCATCTGCCCCATTCCTTCCTCCTCGTCCTCCGCTTCCTCTTCCTCCTCACCCGCTGAGGGCTGCTTTGGGCTGGCGCTTCATCACGATTCTTCAAACAGTTCCGACCCGTCGCCCTGCTGCCTGAGCCATTACGACGACTGCCAAACAAAAAGTTCGGATCCTGCTGATCACCTAAGTATCAACCACCTGCCTTCCTCCATCCTTCTCAAGGTCAGATATTTGATACGTTTTTTTTAGCAAATGAACACAAATTTTAATTAGGGGTGTCTCAATACCAGTTTTTCTCAAACCAAGTATCAGTACTTCAGTTTGGATACTTGCCGATTCTGAGTACCTTTTGTGTCGGACCGTGTTTTTATACTAAAGTTACTGGAACGATACTTAAGTTGGTTTTACTTCGAGCACATCGCTTCATTAACGCAATTTCAACGTCTGTGCTAACACTGTTGCATGGATTTTGACAATAAAGTACACTTGAACTTGAACTTCATTCTGTAAATACAAAGTAAATACGGCGCAGTCGGACCGAGGCAGGTTCAAATGTAAACGGTAGGGGTGCAGCAATACATGTACCTGTATCGAACAGTGCTTTAGGTTCAATACACACTTGTATCGAACAAAACAGATTTTTAAAATTTACTTTATCAACTTGTCTTCTGAAGATGCTCTGTGTTAAAGGATCAGTGGATCTGTGTTCGACTACTCCACCTAGGCTGCATTTTTGAGCGCAGATCCACTGAGAAACTTGCTGTTTCAGCAAAATTTAATTAAAAAACTGTACTTTTGAGGTTAAACAAATGTTCATAAATAATTTAAATAAATTACAAGTTAAAAAGGACGTGGAAAATTTCTCTTTTTTTTGTGTCGAAAAAAAATCGAACTGTGAGAGTAAAGTATCGAACCGAATCGTGAATTTTCTGTATCGTTGCACCCTTAGTAAACGGTGAACTAAACAAGCATGTCAGATAATTATTTAACAAGCTCTGATTGCGCAGCTTCAGAATCGACATGCTAGCGTGTAGCATCCACGGATAGAGACCCGTTAACTCCTGTAAATAGAACTGTAGGAAAAATATACGTTGTTCAAAATGGTGTGTCCGAATAAACAGGAATCAGCTGGATTTCTTCTTTAAAACTTTATTTTCAGTCTTCTGATTCCAATCAGGTTCGTACAGCACTCGGCAGCACAGGCTTCTTGCCTGACCTTGAGACCTTGAGCTGAATCGAAACAAACACAGGAGAGCTCTGCTCTGAGCAGACTCTCCACAACTCTGACAACTTCTTTCTACTATAATAATTGAATTGAGCTTATAATGTGTCTTTCTTCCTGGTTACACCCCAGGAGGTGTTACCTTTTTATGTCAGATGTCAGAACGTAACTCATTTTGTTTAGGCTAAAGAAAGAACATATGATAAGACACACACCAACTCTTTGTCTGCTTTAACCTTACAGACTGAAATGACCAGAAAGTTTAAAATACAATACTGAATCTAATATTCAATTAATCAGTTATAAAATTTCCTTCAGAACGCTGAACGTGACGTCTTCTTCTTTGCATGTGAATCACATGAACAGCATAAAACTAGGGATGCGCCAATAGGAAAATTTCAGCCGACATCCAAATCCAATATAAATTTTGCTGTTATGGCCGATAACCGATATTGACCGATATTACACAAACACACAAATTATATTACACATATACACACAAACACACTTGGGTCTTTTTTGATACCGTAAATAAACGACCAAACCTCTGACCTGACTCCCTACTTCAGTTATTCCTGGCTGCGCAGCATCAAAATCACTATCATGATCAAACAGATGCTGCTCATCCAACCATCTCCCCTCCCAAAACAGAAAYACAAAGCTAAAAAGTGGGAAATACACATCTAGTGTTAATATCGGCCTAGTTTTACACATCGGACCGATACCAATATTCGAAAAAATGACAATATCGGCCGATACTGATATTAATGCCGACATATCGTGCATTCCTACATAAAACTTTGGATTCTAATGGAGGTCACTTTTAAAATGTGAACGTCCACGCCAAAAAAAAAAAAAAAAAAAAAAAAAGGTATCTGTTTCGGGTATTTGAACGTTTTAACGACTACTTTTAAAAATGCTGGTATTGGGCCCAGGACACCACTAATTCTAATGAAGAGTTTTACAAACAGGGATTTTTGTGGCTTCCTGCCTCTACAGGTGCTGTCCCACTTGACGGTAAAGGAGCGCTGTCTTTGTGCCTCGCTGGTTTGTAAGTACTGGAGGGACCTCTGCTTGGACTTCCAGTTCTGGAAGCAAATTGACCTAAGTGGCCTACAACAAGTAAGAGTCTCGTTTTCTCAGAAATTATGCTCTAATCTAAAAAAAAGTGTAGTTTTTACACATTTTGCAGGCATCTATGTGCTGACTTCTGCTTCAAATTATAATAATAATAATAATTAAAAAAAAAGAATATTCTTGTCACTGATCTCTTTGTGGCGTTTCTTTCTCAGGTCAATGACGATCTCCTTGTTAACATAGCTTCTCGGAGGCAGAATGTGACAGAGATTAACATCTCGGACTGCCGGGGGGTCCATGACCACGGTGTGACCTCCCTGGCCTCACACTGTCCGGGGCTGCAGAAGTATACAGCCTATCGGTGCAAGCAGCTGGGGGATATCTCAGTGGTCGCTTTGGCAGCACACTGCCCTCTCCTGGTCAAGGTGCATGTTGGAAACCAGGACAAACTCACTGATGCAGCTTTGAAGAAGGTATACTTTAAAAGCCACCCAAGCCATGTGTGACTCTTTTTGTCAGCTTTAGTAAAGAAATATTAAAAATAAATGAAACAAAGAGGTTTTGAGCCTTTTATTTGATGTTGACTAACAGCTGGGAGCGAACTGCAGCGAGTTGAGAGATATCCACCTGGGTCAGTGCTACGGCATCAGCGATGAGGGCATGGTGGCCTTGGCTAGAGGGTGTCCCAAACTACAGAGACTCTACCTGCAGGAAAACAAAATGGTCAGTTTCACACAAAGCATCTTTTCTTGTGTTTATCTCTCTCGGCTGAATATCTGTGCATAGTTTTTGTGATAAAGAACACGATAAATTTGTGGATAACTGTAGTCGAGTTTTCAGAGATGTTTTTAGGCAGCGGCTGGACGACAGCACAAAGTTTTCGTCTGTTTCTTTCCTCACTCTTGCTTTGACAGCCACAAAGAAAAGCTGTTGAAACCATTTCATCATAGTTTGACTTGATGTTTGACTTGAGCACTGGTGGAGCTGCTTGTTTTGTGAACATGGCGAAGGAAGATATGCAGAGGGTTGGTGTGAYAGAGATGGATGTTGGAGGGAAGGTGAGATGAAAACTAAAGGGAACAGCTGAAAGGAGATGGAAACAAAAATGACTGACTTGAAGCAGTGGTGCGTTTAAATTWGGAGATTGTGGATTGATATATTTTAAATATAATAATCTAATTACATCTTAATGATTGTTGTCATGTTTTTTTTTAATTTTTTGAAGCCACTTCAGTAGAAAACAGAACTGAATATTAGTTTCTTCATCAGCGACTTTTTTCTTTTTTTATGTACTATATAATACTATAAAAAAAGAAAAAAAGGAGAAATAAAATGGAAAAGATTGAAAGAGAGATTAGAAGATATGTGAAATATACACCAAGAAAAGACAAGACAACACACCCGACATCTGTCTGCACACCTGCAAAAATGGAGAAAACAAAAATACAGCGACAAAATATGTGTAAATAATACATACATGATGTTGTCGTTAATATGGGAAGTTTTACATTTATGTGATTTTTGAGTCTGTTCTGAGAACATTTTGTTAAACATTTACACACTGTCGAGAGCTGAATTGTGATGTTTTTAAAAAAATCTAATTATGTTAATTTAATAAAGGGAATGTGACAAAGTATGATAAACCACCACCAGATGTCACCATTTTCTCTAAACAGCTGGCCAGCTGTTTCAACACTGTAGGTCTCAGCTGTGTATTTTTTTTGATCAGCCTTGTAACATTTGCTTTTTAGAATAAAAACTATAAGAAAACCATATTTTACATTTTTATTACAATTTGAGTTGTTCGTTTCAGATCCTCATTATCTCGATCCTCTTTGTTTCACTAATGGATCCCCCCCCCACACACAGCTAATATTTCTTTAGCGTCCTCGAGTAATTGTGACCTTGATGAATTGGCTCGCTGTAAATTGTTAGGAAAAGCTCAGTTTTTTAAAACCCCATCCATCAGCTAAATAGTAAATGAAATTAGCGATTAGGGCTAGGTGAGCGATTAATATTGCTGCTGATAACGTTTCAGCAGAGCCGCATCGATTTCAGATGGTGATATTTCAGATGTGCGAGGGTTGCACTTATTTAGCTTCCTATCATTAGAGCAGAGAGAAATGGGYCCAGCTTATATGGGAATCATGTCAAGGAAAGTGGCAATCCAGTCGCCTGGCCTACAATTGACATTAACTTGTCAGGAGTTAGGATGACAGAGAAGCCTCTTATTCCCTCTAACATCTTGGAAGACAGTTTAAGGTCCACCCCCTTTACTGCTGATTTTATTGCTTTGTGGGAAGTGGTTGTAATTACAACCTCCAAAATGAAAATGGTGCTTTGAGATCTAAAAATATTCACGGACATTTTAGATTTTGACATCAGATGGTATGGCTAATGGCTGAATCACATACGTGGTGGATGAATGTCTTGCACTTGGAGAACCTTGTTTYGCACTAAATCAGACGTTCGTCGAGCAACATTTGAAGCCACATAAGAAAGACTTCTGAACGGTTTMTGCACAAATATAAATGTTTGGACTTTTGTGGGACGATTGTTTGGATTCAGTTTTTGTTCTCTTCARAAACTAGTTCAATAAACCACATTGAGATGGAGTTTTGGATTTTAGTGGCTATAAATAGAAAAACCATGGGATAAAAATGAAAGGGCCTTTTTAACCTTTCCTGTCCTGTCCTGTCCTGTCCTTTCCTTCGTTCTTTTGTCTGTCCTAATCAATCACAGATAACGATGAGTCTTTTCTTCACTTTGATCTGCCCACTTCTCCCCCTCCTCATCCTCCAAAATGGAATAAYTGAATCACTTTTGGATGTCTGTGGATTTTTTGTACTCACCCCCTTCTTTTTTTTTCTGTTATGTTATGTGGACACCCACTTTTGATTCCTTTTTCTCTCCTTCCCTACTTTCCTGTTTCKTTTGTGTCTTTTTGTTCTGTTCTTTAGGATTTGTTTTGTGTGCGTTGACTGAGGCTGTAACAAACTTTAGATGTTTTTAAGGAAGAGGAGGCCCAGCATTTCTGATCAAGCGTGTGTGATTTTGAGAACACGAAGCACAACCCAATGKCCTTGGAAGATGCAAACCCTTGTGCAGGTGTGTTTCCTAAAACACRTAATTGTCTCCTTTCAGAGCCAACAAAACACACGATGGTTCAGATTTGTTAATGTAACACATGAACACTTGAATGTCTCCAACTCATTCTAAAGTTTGTTTACTAAAACAAACCCAACTCATGCCCATTGTTAGCCCYGGGCCAAATCAGCCCAGGGCTATGGATAACCCTGGGCTAAAAGCATTGAGTGAAAACCAGGTGACTCTGGTGTATCAGTGCTCCCRTTCCTTTTGACATCCAACCTGCATTCTTTATTGGCACTCATCCAGTATTTATGCCAAAGTTGGTTATATTGCACCAGTTGCCTTTCAAGTCTTGTTTTCATCTTCTGAAGTGCTCTCCTTTTACTCTCYTCCATTCATATTCTGCTCTCTCCCACCACCCCGAAGGGCAGAGGCTATGAGAATAGCAAATGCCCCTTTTCCTCATCTTGCTTCAGTTTGCCGTAGGGGTGGAGAGGCAGCCTTGAAAGCTCAGCTCTGCGTTCTGTCAGTTCCCTATGAATGAGCGGTGGAAAAGTCAGACCAGCCTCTTCGAAGCCCCTTCCTCTGCGTTTGGTAACTTTGCTGMGATTTTTTTTTCCTTTCAGCGAATGTCATTGCAATTCTGAAACGTTTTTTTTGCCGCGGAAGCACTTTCACGCTCACTTTTCCGGTCTTTCGGCAAACCCTTATCTGTCCTCCTGTCTTGTTGCAATCAAAGAGCGTTCGCTTAATTTTCCTGCAATATGACGAGAACACTTTTCTTCAGGCTCGTCTCAAAGAAGCTACCTTGTGATTATTTACAGTTTTAATTAGTTCAAAAATGTGCAAATGTAAGTGGAATTAGAATTGACCTAACATAGATTACTGTGTGCCCTCAATTTAAACTGTGGTTACTGCTTTGCATGCACAATTGGAGCCTCCGTCGTGCGCTCCCTGTTTTTCAGCTCCCTCGTTCAGATATTTTGCGATGGAAGGAAATGTATTTGAAAGTTGGATAGCGTTAAAGATGAACTGTCAGCGTGAACAGTGTTTCTTGGCCATAGGTCAAGGAACGGGGCTCCATCTCCTGCTCTGATTGGCTGTCTTGACTAACTTTTCAGTAGTTCGGTTTTTCCTGGCTCGGGARACGACAGCACGTTCAATCAGACGCAATCACACGTTGATCAGTATATTTACATTAGCAGATGCATTTAGCCAGATTAGAGGGAACGCAAACACAAAGGAAGTGGTAATGATAGCTGACAGTTATTATGGGATAGACCTTTTGACATGAACCGACCAACACAAACCCACAAAATGCACGGAGCAAACACTGAGCCGAGCAGCTGCCAAACGCACTGGAATCTCCCCTGGAAACTTTGTCCATGTGTTGTGCTGTAATTAGAGATAAATAAAACCACTCTGGCTGTTCACACAAACAGAATTACACAGACACACAAACAATGCTTTGTCCATCTCCCCAATCCCCTCCAGTCCTCTCAGACAGCTGTTTGGACTTTTCAGACTGTTCAATACTAAATGCAGTGCGATGCATTTAGTCGGTACAACTGCTAATGGCACCGGATTGTGTCTGTCAGGGCGAAGGAAGCCTCGAGAATTTCCATGCTTTCATGTCATCAAAACGTCTCTCTTGTTTTCTCTCTTTATTCCACTTCCTCAGCCTGTCTGTTTATTCTGGAAGTATTTAAGTAATTAAAGCGAAGCTGGAAAACACTGTACAGAACAGTTAAAGGAAAGTGGATGTTTTATTTTGCACACCGTACTGACAAGGACACTTTATGATATTTTATAGAAATTGAAAAGATCTTTTTTTTTTCCACTAAAACTTTCATTTCTTAACTTTTTAAAGGATTTATAAAAAATAATGGAAAACTTWATGTTAAAAAATGAACGGCAGGGCACAGGAACCACAAATTTTATTACAACGAGGAAACACAGCAGCATGTAGAAGGTTTTAAAAGATATTGAATTAGATAAATAAAATAAAAAATGCTTCTGAGTTGAGCATAACCAGATATTAGTGTAATAAAACATTAAGCTGAAATAAGAATAATATTCTTAATAATAAACATAAGTCAAAAGGAATGTAAAACTGACTAAAGGCTAAGGGCATAGTAAAAATATCCACATAAATATTAGACTGAACTGGTAGTCTTGAGTTTTATAGGAGAAATTAGATGTCCATCCATCAAACAGTTTAATTTTCTTTACCATCTTCTCCTCTCTGAGTAGTGGGGGTCTGGTTCCTATCTCCAGCAGTCACTGTGTGAGAGGCAGGGTACACCCTGGACAGGTCTCCAGTCCATCGCACGGAGACAAATGAGACAACCATCTACACTCTGACTCACACCCAGGGACAGTGTAGAGATACCAATGAATCCAACACGCATGGTTTTGGTCTGTGGGAGGAAACCAGGAATACCTGGAGAAAACCCACGCATGCATGGAGAGAACATGCTCAGCTCCAGTCAGAAAGGTCCCCCCGGCTGGGATGGGATCCTGCGTCTTACTTGCTAAGTGGGAACAGAACATGTTAATAGAAAAATGAAAATCATTCCTTTGGGTTTAAAAACAAAAAGCTCTCTTGAGGTCCTAATTCAGAGGATTTTAAT